TTGGCGACAGTTTCCATTTGTTTCTTCCGTTTGAAGTTACGTGCGCTTAATTGTATAGAGCTCAGTTGAATTTCAAAATGGTTGTTGAGGCAGCGTTACTTGTAAGTGAAAGCTTCACTTTTTCATTTCTTTCTACGTTACCGAATGAATAGAAGAATATCGTGAGACAAAAAGTAATTGTTTTCTGTGAAAATTGCATGTTTGCTTTCTGAAAAAATTTCTTCTTCTGGTGAACCTTCTCTTCTTCCGAGAATGTTTTTCTTTGAGAATTTTCTAATTATTTTTTCTAATGAACTGTTACATGAAGTCATCAGTATTTTCAACTTTCTAGGATAAGGTGGATGAAGTGGATACGTTTCTGTCGAATCAAGAAGGTATGATTATACGAGGCCCTGATCCACGTATGTGTCATCATGGACCACGTCAAAAGTGTACACATTGTCTTCCGCTTGATGTGCGTTTCACTTTTTGATTTGTTCTTTCTACAAATTTATAATTTGAGCTTCAGTCAGAATTCAGTTCACAGACTACCGAAATCTTTCAGTTAAAAAAAAAAACAAGTCAGCTCTTATCTTGTAATCGGTTTTCTCAGGAATGCACTGAAATAAGCGTATGAATGCGTAACCCTTCGTAAACTTACACATCATCAGTTAATCAGTTATCTTGTTTTAGCCATATGATGAGGAATATCTAAAGGAAAAAGAAATCAAGCACATGTCGTTCCATGCATACGTTCGTAAACTAACCGCTGGTCATGGAAAAGGTACTCAACTGAAAAAACCACTCGAAAATGTTGTTTGCAAACTGAAAGAGAACTGTACGGCTCATAAACCATATCCTCAGGGTATCTGCACCAAATGTCGTCCACCATCTATGACACTTAATAGACAGGTTGCTTTCGTTTGTTTTTGTTTCTTTCATTTGTTTGTTTAGTTCATGAACATTGACTTGTCTTATTGCTTTAATCGAAATTTTTTGATGAATGAATTCTTTTGGAATACGCTGTGAAATTCTCATTAATTTTCATTTAATCAATAAATCCAGCAACTTTTTACGAGTTTACGTCTCT